GAAATCAGACAGTTCAGAGTTTTCCTCAGGAGTTGTTGGGACAGCTACAGGTTTTTTGGGGTGTTTTGTTAAAACACGGTGCGTTTCAGTTTCCTGGTATTTTTAGGAGCTACAGGTAAAGTCTTGACGAGTTTGTCGCGGGTCTGGGGGAGTTTCAGCCCCCACCGCTTCTCCTCCTCTCTCTCTGTGTGTCTCCCCGCAGCGTAATTCAGGCTCTTGTGCTCCGACACTGCAGCAGCCGCGTTCTGCTTTGAAACCTTTCTTTAGTTTGTTATTGCTACGAGCTCTCATGCTAAAGCGAGAGTTGACTCCTCCCACACTAAGAAAATAGGAGGGGAGGGGTCAGCTGAGCTCCTGTGCAGCGGAGCACAGAGAGGGAGAGACACGACGGAAAAAAACAAGCAGGAAAATGAAACTTATCGTCCTCATTTTTTTTACCGACCTCAAAATAACTTATCATGCAATTAATTGATTTATTGACTATCGCGACAGGCCTATMCACGCATGACTTTAATAGCATTTCTTACTTAATGGAAACACCACAGTTGTGAAACAGTGTTTTTTGACATTAACAGAATATGGACAAAGTTTTGCGCACATTTGCAATGGAAACGCAGCTACAAACCCTCCAATCTCTTTCCATTGTTGATTTAAAGTTTAAAGAAAGTTTTAATAAAGTTTATAAAGTAATGACACAGACCTTTCGCTTGTTGGTTTTGGGAGTCACCATTGTCAACTTGCTGACGTCTTGGGGTGTTTGGGTCTGGGAATGAGAAGACTTGCTGTTTTGCTCAGCTTCAGGCGCCTTGACTTCCATCAGACCCTCAATGGGGATCAGTACTCTGTCTTTGTGTTCTTCTTCATCCTGCGTAACAGGACTGTGTACTTCTTTCTCATGGTGTATCATTTCAGATAGAATGACTGGGGGTTCAGGTTTTGTTTTCTGGCAGCAGGTTTTGTGGGATGAGGAGTGAACCTGAGTGTGTGTAGTGGTTTTATTCTGGACATGGTGAGGCTGATGCTCTCTGGCATAGCTGTGAACCTGGAGCTGTGTAGGAGCTTCACGCTTCTTTTCCAAAGTATAGCTGTGAACTTGAAGTGTGTCTTTAGCACTCAGTGTCTTGTGGAAGAGAAGGCTGGCCACCCCCATTTTGCGTACAGGTTGAGCAGGGGCGTCCGTCCATGTAGGTGCCACTGAAACTGATAAATGTCCATTTCTGGGTTTTGACTGAGATGAGACTGCAGGTGCACCGGTCTTTGAATGGACAGCAGAACGACCTCCATCACCATTACTCTGGCCCCTGTGAAATGGATCCCTTAATGTAAGCTTTGTTGGTGTGACAACCAACTTTGGAGGGCCTGTAAATCAGGTCAGAAAGCAAAAACTTTTATTCCAATAAAAGGTTTTATGAAATTAGCTGGGTTAAAGGAAACTGGTTAGATTATGTAGAGCATACCTTTATTTTTTCTGCCATCTTGTGCAATAGTTCGAGGTGGTATAAGACTTAGCCTGGGGCGTTTTCCATACTGCTCAGAATAATTTTCATCTTCATCTTTAGGAACAACCTCATTGGGCACTTCCAAACACACCCGGTGTCTCTTGGTTTCTATTCTCTGTGTGCTGAGGAAGTAGCAGAGGACTGTAAACACGGCATGGAGAAACATTCATTCAGTATGACTGTACATGTGCAGCACCTTGCAAAAGTATTCATCCCTCTTGGTAATGTTTTTAGTTTGTTTTGTTTGTTTGCAAACCTGAAATTTAAAATGATTTTTAATCAACATCATCTTCTAGTGTTTACACCGGACACACAGATTTTAAAGCCCCCGGTCCATCAAAGTACACGGCCATCTTTTAAGATGTGCCTGTTTTTTGCAGACTCCAGGTCTAAGGTTCTCCCTTGGGAGAAATGTTGCTCGGTTTAAAAAGGCACTACTGCAGAAAAGAAAAACAACATTCAAGACAATAAAACCACAACAACAAGACTAAWAGAACCATAACAACAAAACATAAAAGTTGCAGCTTTCAAAAATCATAATGGACGGACAGACGGATGGAGAGCATTTTAAAGTTCCCCACCTCGGCAATAATGACAATTAAAAATCATTGTGCAAAAATGCTATCTTTTTTAAAAATTAGAATTTCATTATTTTATTTAATCTATGTCCCATGCAAAAGTTGCTCTTATTAAATCGCCCCATTTACTTTTCCCCCATAATAACAAAAAACTTATTTCCACCCTTTCCTGGGAGATACATTTTATGAAAACTACTGGTTAAATTGTGATTTAAAATTATATGGTTCATCTAATTGTGTGATATATTAATGCTGTTGATCTGTGTTTATCTACTATAACTGAATTCATGGCTTGTATGGAGGACGGATCCTTTCATAATGGGAAATAAATGTAGAAATATATAAATGGCTTGAAAAACTAAATACATGGCTTAATAAAAGAGGTAATGTGGAAAATTTAGCAACCAAATAACAAAAAATACTAACTTAACCAATTTATTTGATTAAACAGTGCAACTTTATTATTTATCATTTTTAACAGTATCAATTTAACATTATCACAATTATTTCATTGTTCATTTTATTTTCAGTCAGTTTTTACTAATTATTTTATTTTTGTATTTCATTATTTATTTTTGCTAAGTTTTTCCAACTACTTTATTTATTCTAATTTTTTTCTTGTCACATTTAATTTAATTCTGTATTTATTTAATATTTATTTTATTTATTGTTACCTTTTTTATGAGACATTTTATTTATTTCCACCTCTAATATTTCCTCTGCATTTTCTCGCCTCCGTTTGCTCCTTCGTCTTTTTATTAACGTGTCTTTTTTTCACTTTCACTTTTAGATTTCCTCCTCGACAACACATAAATATAAAAGGGGGTAGAGGAGGGGAGGGCAGGGGAGAGAACAGGAAGGGAGGGGGAGTGATGGGCGTGGATTCAGAGTCAGCTTCTCTCCTATTGGTCAACATCAAGATTCATGTGTTCTGAGATCGACTTTCAGCCGGACTGAAGCTAGCTTCCAGCAGCTAATGTAGCTAACGTGACGGACCGCAGCATGGTAAGAGTTTTATGAGTTTGTCTTAGAAACATGCARGTTTCATTATTACAGTCAGGTTATGTCTGTATATATTCACAAAAATACTTGGTCTGGAAAATGACTAGTTTGTAGTTTAACAGGTTAGAAAYTTCAGTAACTYTCTGATCATTGGAGCTAACATTTGGCTGTCCTCTGCTAATGAATCATCTGGATGTGAGGGCTTCAGCAGCCTAAAATCACGTTGATACTGACGGATGAATACAGAAATCAAACAAATAACTCACAGCACAAACAGTGACTTGACACTTTTGTGTATTATTGAGTCATTTCAGATGAAATTACTCTATTACTTCCTGCAGTCTGATGATTTGTAAATGCAGTGGTGGGCAGCACTAATTTAAAAATTAGTTCCGCAATTTCTAAAGCATTTATGAAAATATTTAGGTCCGCAACTTCAAAAGAGCTTATTGCATAGAAATATTAGTGGAAGCTAATTCTAAAGCGAAGGTTCAATTGGACACTTAGCTGGCTACAATTCATGCACAATATATGTACAATGCTGCCCACTAGTGGTGTATGAACCCTTGTACAGCTCGTTTTACAACCGCCGAATGCTGGGGGTCTGATTTCCTCAAACACAACTTTGACTCCTGGGTGTAAAAATTAAAAACTTGTTGAGGCTTGCTCGGCTGATTCTTTAAAAAGTTGTTGAGGATTGCTATTTCGGCTGCTTCTTTGTCTTTTTCTTTTGTTTGTTGTAGATTTTTCATTAAAGAAGCATCAATAAGCTAAAATTGTTTATTGGAAAACTGAAGTGATGCATTCTGGGTACATCTGTGATGGGAAATGTAAAATAGATGTAAATGTGTCCAGAG